CCCCCCCCCCCCCCCCCCGTGGTCTGTTCTGTTCCTGACAGCACTCAGGAGTATCAGAGGACAGTGGAATAATAACTTTTCTGAAACCTCAGTAGGCTGACTCTACCAACCATCACCATGCTGACTCAGGAAGTAGAAACTGAAATGGACTTGACCTCAGAACTGCACTCGCTTATCTCTTCTCTTATTAAGTTCTAACTCTATAGATATTAATGATCCTGGTAGCTAATACACTTAGATTTCACAAGCTGTACTGCTGTCCTTAATTTTATGCTTATTTCTTAGCAATAGCTGTTCGGGTTAGCATCAGTTTCACAGAGGAGACAGACATTTCCTATATGATAAATGAATAACAGCAATTCTACAGACAGCAGTCTCTGCAAATGGTGACCATTAGTGCTTGATTCCCATCTGTGCCTCAGCCCTGGCACCAATCCAGCGTAAAGGCTACATGCGTCTGATTGGCAGGATATCTGTTGTAACAGGTCAGGTATCTGTTCTGATTGGTTGGTGCCTGTGCTATTCTGGGGGATAATATTTTTTAATATCTACACTGCCCAGGAAATTGTTTTTAGTGTGAAAACAAATATTCTGCTTCATATATGAAGAATTTTCTCAATTTTATACTTTCCTGTTATTACAATCAGTGTTACCTCTTCCTTCAATTAGTACAACCATTGAAGTTTATCAAGTACTTCTGTGGTAGTCATTGGGCTATGAACTTTTCTAGACCTCAAGGTATTTAATACCCTCCATGCCCTTGTGAAGTAGTTAATCTCCCTCTTACTTAGCACAAATTATTAAGCTGAATCATATGAAAGAGGTCTAGAATGGTTAATACTGGCAACTTCATCCAGCCTTTCTCAACTGGGGTTCCAAGAGAGAATCCCTAATGAACCAAGGTATCCACTAAAGTAATAAATTATTTTCTTTCCTGTGCATCTAACATGGTATCAGTTGGATACCATCCTTGGGAGAATTGAGAAAGTCATTCAAATAGTTTTTGGTATTCTGTGACTCAAATGAGAAACACTGTTTGAGAAAGCCAGCAAGAAAGCCATGAACAGGTCTAGTACTATAGCTGGGTGGACAAGATGCCTCTGGTATATCATAGGGATAACTTTGTAAACTTTAGACCATTTATTTTCAACGTAAAGGAGGGGAGGGTAAGATGGGGCGGACAAATCAGATTCTTATAGCAGCATAGAGCGTGAGGAGGGCTTTTCAAATCATAGCTCCATTTTTATATTCTGCTGTGTTTTGCGATAACTTTGTAAACTTTAGACCATTTATTTTCAACGTAAAGGAGGGGAGGGTAAGATGGGGTGGACAAATCAGATTCTTATAGCAGTATAGAGGGTGAGGAGGGCTTTTCAAATCATAGCTCCGTTTTTATATTCTGCTGTGTTTTGGTTGGATTTTTCCATGAGAATGGCAGCCACAGTGAATCTTTATTACAATGAGAATGTAAGGCTGTTTTAGGGAAGAAAAAAAATTTGAGGATGATTGTGATAGACACGAATTGTTTCCAGATTTAACCTCTTCTTGTTATGTGTTCAGTGATAATACATATTTTTATGGAAAGTAAGGCATTTTGAAAACCCAACCATTTGGATTCAAATTACCTGAAGATAATAAATAACCAAATCAGACTTTCAGATGCAAGAAAGAAAGTTCTAAATTCACAATGATGAGTCTTCTACAAGAGCCAGAGGGAATTTAATTAGCAGCCTAAAAACATATAAGGAAACTATCCTTATGCTATTTTCTGTATCAGGTTCTACGGTGTGGGCCATAGAGCTTGGGATTTGAAGTTTAAAGCCTAGTTCTGCAATTTAGTACCTATGATGTCAAGGCAAGTGATACAATTCCTGTGAGCTTCAATTTCCTCATTCACACACAGGAATGAAGAACTAACCTGTAGGATTGTTGTGCGGATTAGAGAGCAGGCCTGCTATGTGGAGTTGGAGTTGTTCAATTAGCAGTGCTGCATTTATTATGCAAAAAGGAGCAGGAATTAACCAAGAATTTCTTTAAAAATGGTGCTTGAACAAAATTATAACAGAGTGACTATATTTCTTTTCGAGTTAGTCTAAACAAGTTAGTATGAGTCAGTTTTGAGAAGTTCAGTTGCATCCTATGTTTCCTGTGCATAGTTTGATATTAATACTTACCCCTCCAACTCTTTCAAAGTGGTCCCCGTCTTTGTCAAAGTCTATCAGGTGTCCATTAAACGACCAAGTAAACACGATGTCTAGTGAATGATCATGTGTTACCTGGCATGGCAGAACAATACTTTCTCCAACAGTGACATCCATACTGGAAGGAGGTACCATTACCCTTGTTGGATCTGGAGAGTTAAAACAAAACAAACAACACCAATGACAAAGCCTGTGGGCTTGTGCGGAAATAAAATGTAGAATCCAAGAGCCAGATGAAGTACTAAGTAGTTTTGCTTTATTTTTTCTTAGGCTCTGACCATCAAACCTCAGTCATCTGGGAAGCTCAGATTTAGGCCAGGAGGCTATTTTTAATATGAAAAGATGAAAATACTCATTATGTGAATCTTTGCAGAGCAACAGAACTCAGCTTGGGAGCAGTGAGGTTAGATGTCTGAAGATGCTCACAGAGGGCACGCTTTCTTGCAGTCTGCTCTGAAATTGTCTCTTTGAAAAGATTTTCAAATCTCTCCAGTTTCACTAGAAAGCTCCATTTCAGTTGAGTGCAAACAGAAAAGTCCACGTTAATTTGAAGATTGTTGGGCTTTTTTTTCTATTATAAAAATGATAAATGTGTTAATACAGAAAATTTAGAAAATTCAGGAACATTAAAGAAGAGACAATAAAACAAAACAAAAGAAACCCCAAACAACAAAAAATCCCTACCTACATAAAACCTCTATTTTTATTTTGGCATAATTTCCTCCAATCTTTTGGTTTATAGTTTTTTAGCTGTTTTGTGTTACATCATTGTAAAATGCTACACATACAATTTTCCTTTTTTCTCAACTTAATATAATATAGGTATGTATAACTTTGTCATCATATTTTTATAATCTGCATAATGTTCCATTATGGAGAAACTGGGAGGCATTTTAGGCATTTTAAATTTTATAATAAATATAAATAATGCTGTAATGAACATCACTGATAAAATGATATACGTACATTACTTCTTTAAATAGACAATTGGGGGTTGGTGAGAGATTGGTAAAGGGCCACAAAAAATGAATACATTGTGTAATGAAAAATACAGTAATTATTCTGATTTAAGCATCACATATTGTACACATGTATTGATAATCAATGCTGTACACCACAAATATGTACCATCAATTATGTTTTGACAAAATAAAATAAAATAAAATAGAACTACCAATCAGTTTTCAGGTTTATCCTTTACATTACAGTTTTACTGGGGATAAAAAGGGCTTGCTTAGCCCAGACAGTTTATAAACTCCAAAGCTACATTTACACACATGTAGTCCCTTATTTTTCATTGCAACATGATTTCCTAAATGGTGTCAGAGAGTACAATGATGAAATGAAGTTTCAATTCAACATAAAGTCCATTTAAATGCCTAACAAATGAAATTCTGAATTCAGCCTTTCCAAAAATTTCTATGTAGTAAACAGACCCAAATCAAGCAACAATTACAAAGAAGAAAAATCATAACTAAACAAAAAAAGAAAAGAACATTGATTAATCCTCTTTCATATTCACAGGATTGTGTTTCAGGGTGTGGGGTAGATAAATATTTATTAAGTAAACTCAGATTAAAATCTCAGCTGGGAATTTTGAAATTATATCCTATAGGAGACTTTTGATGGGTCTACTCTCCAATGACCCACTCTAAAATTTCCTCTTCCAAGGGAATATTTAAAACAGTTTTTCTACCCTTCTATCTAACTATGGAAAGAAAACATCTTGAATCTTGAGTTGTTAGAAAAGGGAAATCTCTGTCCTAAATAGATTATAATCTAGTAATGGGATATACTTTTGCTGTTTTCTGAAAATAAGAAAAGAGCATGATAAGTAGATTTCGGTGCTTTCAGTCACCACTGAATGAGTGATGTCCATTAAATGAGAAGTGAACAGGTACTGCCAGCTAAGAGGTAGCAGGACAGAAAATCCCTTATTTCACTTTTGCAAGTCATGTAGTAAAACCTGCTCTATTGATTCACTGACCCTCAGGAATAGATAAAGACTAGGACTTTTTTTAAATAGGGGAAGGAGGTAAGACCAAATCTTATTCTAAGCAAAAATCTAGGGATAGCCCCACTTGGACTGAACACATCATCTGACAATTTGAATTTAAATTTTCCTCATCTATAAAATGAAGACTGAAACAGATAATCCCAGGCTAGAATTATATATCTCTATGATATTTATGTGGCAAAATGTTGTCTAATCCTACTTTAAATAGCTGTCCACTGATTTTGCAATTTAGATTTTCATTTTAATGCATCATTCATTTATTTGTTGATTTATCTACCAGGCATGTGTTGTTTGTTATGTGGATGTGGACAGCAGATATAAAGAAGGCCGAGGGAATAACATTCATAATAACTAACTGAGCCCCTTAGAACTGTTAAGTGCTTTAATTCCTAACAAATAGGTATTATTATCATCCCTATTTATTTTAATTAATTAATTAATTTTATTTTTTGGCCACAAAACAAATCTTCATATATTTAAAAATACTAAGATCATAGAAAATATGTTCTCTGACCACAATAACAGAATGCAATTAGAAAATTCACAAATATGCAGAAATTAAACAATACTCTCCTAAATAAACAATGAGTAAGAAAAAAAAAAATCACAGGGAAATTAGAGAGTACTTTGAGATAAAAATCAAGTGCAAGGTATCAAAATTTGTAGGATGCAGGGCTCGTACAGTGCTTAGAGGAAAATTTATACTTGTAAACACCTATATTAAAAATAAGAAAAATCTCAAATCAGTAATGGAAACTTCTATCTTAAGAAAGTAGAAAAAGAAGAGCAAATTAAACCAAAAGCAAATATAAATAGGAAATAACAAAGATTACAAAAGAAATATATGAAATAGGGAATTATTTTGTAAACCTTTACCTAGATTGACTAAAAAAAAAAAAAAGAAAAAAAAAAAGAGAGAGAAGACAAAAATTACTAAAATCAGAAATAAAGCAGGGCATTATTGCTACATTGTCATTATGTTTTTTTGTGGAGGTAAGATTTACTTTCATTTTCCTTCTCGTTTGCTTTTTTATTCTATCAGTGGATTTGGTTCTTTCTTGTGTATTCATGGTAGTGATCATTGCTTTTTGGATGCAGGACTTCCTTGAGGATTTCTTGAAGGGCTTACTGTGTGGTAGTGAGCTCCCGCAGTTTTTGTTTGTCTGGAAAGTACACTATTTTCTGAAATTTACACATTTCTGAACGACAAACTTGCTGGGTATAGTATTCTTGGCCAGCAGTTTTTTTCTTTGAGTATTTTGAATATATCATCCCATTTTTTTCTGGCCCATAGAGTTTCTATTGAGAAGTCTGCTATTAGTCTGATAGAGGCTCCTTTACAGGTGACTTGACACTTTTCTCTTAGCTCTTTTAAGATTCTCTCTTTGTCTTTGAGCTTTGCCAATTTGACTATAATGAGTCTTGAAGAGAATCTTTTTGGGTTGAATCTGTTTGGGGACCTTTGAGCCTCCTGGATCTAAAGGTCCATGTTTCTCCCTATACCTGAGAAATTTTCTGTTATTATTTCATTGAATAGGTTTTCCATGCCTTTTCCTTTCTCCTCCTCTTCTGGAACACCCATGATTCAAATGTTTGTGTGCCTGAGGTTGCCTGCTAGTGCTCTTGGATTTTCCCCATTTTTTAAAAATTCTTTTTTCCTTTTTTTTGTCTGCCTGGATTATTTCAAAAAGACTATCTTCAAGATCAGAAATTCTTTCTTCTGCTTGTTCTAGCCTGCTGCTTAAGCTCTTGATTGTCTTTTTTATTTCATTGAGTGAATCTTTCAGTTCCATGAGTTCTGCTACATTCTTCTCTAAGATATTAATCTCTTTGTAAATTTCCTCCTTTACATCCTCAATTTTTTTCCTTGTTTCATTATGTTGTCTAACTGAGTCTTTTCATATCTCAGAGAGTTTCCTTAGGATTGTTGCTCAGAATTTCTTTTCAGTCATTTCAAGAGTTATGCTCTATAAGGTATGGTATTTAAAGAATTACTGTGTTCTTTTGGTGGTGTCATATTTTCTTGGGTTTTTATATTTCTAGTATCTCTAAATTGATGTCTGGTTATGTGGTAGAGCAGTTGCTTCTTCTATTACTCTGGAATGGGCTTTGAGGAGAGACATGTCCTCTTCTTTTTCCAGTTTCTGCTGGTGACTTTCCTTGTGTCAATGCAGTTGAGTGTCTGGTGGGCCACCTGCACGGTGGCTGTGGCTGCAGCTGTGGTATCAAGCCACTTTTGTGGCAGACATGGCTATGGCAAAAGCTGTGGTGGGCCACCTACATGGAAGTGGAGTTTTTGGCATGCTCATTGCCTGCTTCCAGGCAGGGGCTGCTGCCCTTGACTCCTGCCTAGGACTCAGGTATGTTCTGTTTCTTGCCTGCTTCCAGGCAGAGGGGGCAGCCCTTGGCCTCATCCCTACTTAACAAATGAGGAGACTAATGCCTAAAAGTGGTTAAGGAACTGTCTCTTCTGCTATTCTGCCTCTCCTCATTTCACTGAAAACTTAGTATGTATGCACAAATCATCCAGAGAACAAGTTTAAGGGCTTAACAGCAATCTTCACTCTTAATTATGTGTAGTCAACTGAAGATATTTGAATGGCGAAGGAATTCAAAGAATTCCTGCCATGGGGTGTACATGGTTTTAGAGAGCTTTACTGAAAGAAAAATGAAGTGACTGCTTTAGATGGTTAACAAGCAGTGATGATTTTATGCCTAAAATGCTGGCTCAAGCTCTCAGATTGCATCAAATTTAGGAGTGTAGAGTCAAATGTCCAGGATCAACTCCTTAAAAATGTCTTGTTTTCCTCTCTCTTGACAAATTCTGGACAAGGAGCAAGGAGTTGGCACATACCCCAGAACCTAGAGCTGTTTGAAATTCTGGCTCACATTTTTAAATGACATTTGTTTCCTAAAGAAACGTTCATCTCTTTATGCACATGTAGAGATCTAGGACAGATTTTTATTAGTGGTAAACTCAACTGCCCATTAACTAAGGACCAGAGAAGTTTTCTAAATCAAGATTATGCTAGTACAGATGCTATGCTGACAGTTGCTAATTCATTAACTTAGCACTTGTTGCAGTTCACGTTCTGAGCCCTGATGTAGCAAGAATCAATGCAAAGTGAGTCA